TCAACTGGATAAAAGGCAGAAAAACAAAACAAAAACTCAGCTTGAATGCTTGAATGGTGCCCGACTATTCCTCAAGAACAAATGGTAAGGAGTCTTTTTTTTTTTCCTGTCATGCCCATTCAGATGACTCATCTGTTGTCATTTCATTCTCTCTTTTCGAAATCTGAGATTTTCTGATTCACTTTAGTGTAGTGACTTAGAAGATGTTGTATTACCCTGACAGCCAAAGACTCTGGTGTGTATTTTAACTCTCCAAATGAATTTTTGCTTATTCTCATCTTTCTGAAAACAATTAACATAAATGTAGATATTGTGCTATGAATATTATTCAGAACTAGATAATCCTCACACTAGATATCTGTTGACTGAGCTTCACTTTGTCCTATAATAGAAAATAACAAACTAATAATGTTCAGAAATAATGATAATTTGTTCATGCTCAAAATAATTCTCACCTTAGATTTTCTTTCTGTATTCTTCATTTTACCAGTATATCATTTTATGTATAATTTAAAATCATGATTATCAATAATCTCTATGTATACTTTGTATGGCCAATGACATGAGCATGTATTTCTGCTGTTCAGCTTATAATGTCTTATTGCACAATGTCAAAAGGCTTGTTTCCTCACTTCCCTTAAAGAATAGTTCTAGAGAATGAGTATATTTGCAGCTGAAATGAAAGGTTTGGGATTTGTAAATTATTATGTTATTGGGAGTTGTTATTTAGGTAAATCTATTGGCTTTATAATCTCCTTTGATTCAAGAATCTTGAATTCCCCAGTAGACAGAGATGTAAAGCTTTGGATCCTATTATTATTAATCAATTTAGAGCAAAGACTACCAGCATAAAATTGTGGTTGTTTAAAAATATATTTATGAAATTTTGGATACGTCCCATTAAGAGGTAGAGATAAATTCCCTCCTCTCAAATGAGCATTGATGAGTCACATTTTTTAAAAAAAACTTGTTCTTTTTAGTTCTACATGACAATAGAACATATTTTGACATATCACACATACATGGAGTATAACTTCCCATTTTTGTGGTGTACATGATGTGGAGTTACACTGGTCATTTATTTATATATGAACATAGGAATTTCATGTCTGATTCATTCTACTATCTTTCCCATTCTCATCCTCTCTCTCTTCTCCCAATTCCACTCTGTCCAATTTGGTGAAACTCCCTCCCTTCCCAGCCTATTGTGAGTTGGCATCCACATATCAGAGAGAACACTTAGCATGATAGTCTCCACTTGCATCCATTTACTGGCAAATGCCATAATTTCATTCTTCTTTATGGCTGAGTAATATTCCATGTGTATATATAACACATTTTCTTTACCCATTTGTCTGTTGAAGGGCACCTAGGTTGGTTCTATAGTTTAGCTAATGTAAACTGCACTACTGAAAACATTGATGTGGCTACATCACTGTAGTATGCTGATTTTGAGTCCTTTGAGTATAAACCTAGGAGTGGAATAGCTGGGTCAAATGGTAGTTCCATTCCATGTTTTCTGTGGACTCTCCGTACTGCTTTCCAGAGTGGCTGCACCAATTTGCAGTCCCACCGACAATGAGTTTACCTTTTCCACATATCCTCACCAACATTTATTGTTCCTTGTATTCTTCATAATTGCCATTCTGACTGGAGTAAGGTGAAATCTTAGAGTAGTTTTGATTTGCATTTCTCTAATTGCTAGAGATGTTGAACATTTTTGCATGTATTTGTTGACTGATTGTATATCTTCTTCTGTGGAGTATCTGTTTAGTTTTTTGGCCTATTTATTGATTGGGCTATTTATTTCTTTGGTGTTTAGTCTTTGGAGTTCTTTATACTCCTGGAGATTAATGCTCTATCTGAGGTACATGTGGTAAAGATTTTCTACCATCAGGTAGGCTCTCTCTTCACCATCTTGATCGTTTTCTTTGCTGTGAAGCTTTTTAATTTGATTCATCCCATTTATTGATTCTTGATTTTACCTCTTGTGCTTTAGGAGTCTTGTTGAGGAATTTGGTTCCTAAGATGACATGATGGAGAGTTGGGCCTACATTGCCTTCTTTTATGTGAAGGGTCTCTGGTCTAAAGCCTAGGTCCTTGATCCACTCTGAGTTGAGTTTTGTGCAGGGTGAGAGATAAAGGTTTAATTTCATTTTGTTACATAAGGATCTCCACTTTTCCCAGCACCATTTGTTAAGAGGCTATCCTTTCTCCAATGTATGTTTAGGGCACCTTTGTCTAGTATGAGATGACTTGTCTCTGTGTCTTCTGATCTGTTTTGTTGGTCTTTGTGTCTGTTTTTGAGCCAATACTATGCTGTTTTTGTTACTATAGCTCTGTAGTGTAATTTAAGGTCTGGTATTGTGATGCCTGCTGCTTCACTTTTCTCGATAAGGATTGTTTTGGTTATTCCGGGCCTCTTATTTTTCTAATTGAATTTCATGATTGCTTTTTCTATTTCTATAAAGAATGTCATTGGAAACTTAGTAGAAATTGCATTAAATCTGTATAGCACTTTTAGCAATATGGCCATTTTGACAATATTAATTATGGTTATCTAAAAACTTGAGATATCTTTCCATCCTCTAAGGTCTTCTTCAGTTTCTTTCTTTAGGGTCCTGTAGTTTTTATTGTAGAGGTATTTCACTTCTTTATTAGGTTGATTACTAAATATTTTTTTTTTGAGGCTATTATGAATGGAATAGTTTTTCTAACTTCTCTTTCAACTGATCCCATCACTGATACATAGCAATGCAATTGATTTATTGGTGTTAATTTTATATCCTCCTACTTTGCTGAATCCTAGAAGTTTTCTAGTGGATTTTTTTGGGAGTCTTCTAAATATAGAATCATGTCATCAGCAAATAGGGATAGTTTGAGCTCTTCTTTTCCTATTCCTATCCCTTTAATTTCTTTCTCTAATTTCTGGCTAGAGTTTCCAGGACTATGTTGAATAGAATGGTGAAAGAAGGCATCTCTGTCTTGTTCCTGTTTGGAGAGAATGCTTCCATTTTTTCTTCATTTAGAATGATGTTGGCCTTGGGTTTAGCATGTGTAGCTTTTATAATGTTGAGATATGTACCTACTATCCCTAGTTTTTTTCTAGTGTTTTGAATATAATGGATGCTGAATTTGTTAAATGTTTTTTTCTGAATCTATTGAGATAATCATGTGATTCTTGTCTTTAAGTCTATTGATGTGGTGAATTACATTTATTGACTTCTATTTGTTGAATCAACTTTGTATCCATGGGATGAAATCCACTTGATCATGGTGCACTATCTTTTTAATATGTTTTTGTATGCAATTTGCCAGTATTTTATTATGAATTTTTATGTTTATGTTCATCAGGGACATTGGTCTGAAATTTTCTTTCCTTGATGTGCCTTTTGGTATTAGGGTGATACTAACTTCATAGAATGAGTTTGGAAGGGTTCCCTCCTTTTCTATTTCATGGAATAGCGGAGGATAGGTCTTCTTCTTTGAAGGTCTGGTAGAACTCAGCTGAGAATCTGTCTGGTCCTGGGCTTTTCTTTCTTGGTGGGCTTTTAATTGTGTCTTCAATTTCATTGCTTGAATTTGATCTGGTTAAATTTTCCATGTCCTTCTGATTCAATGTGGGTGGGTCATATGTCTGTAGAAATTTGTCAAAATCTTCAAGATTTTCTATTTTATTAGAATATAAATTTTCAAAATAGTTTCTGATTATTGCTTATATTTCAGTAGTGTCTTTTGTGATATTTCCTTTTTCATAGTGAATTTTATTAATTTGCACATTCTTACTCTATTTTTAGCATGGCTAAGGATTTGTTACTTTTATTTATTTTTTCAAAGAACCAACTTTTTGTTTTGTTGATTTTTTTGGATTATTTCCTTTGTTTCAATTTTTCAATTTCATTGATTTCAGCTCTAATTTTAAATATTTCCTGTCTTTACTTGCTTTTGGCATTGATTTGTTCTTCTTTTTCTGTGGATTTGAGATGTTATGTTATTCATTTGTTAACTATTTATTCTTTTAATGAATGAGCTCAATGCAACGAACTTTTTTTCTCTTAGCACTGCCTTCATGATTTTGATATGTTGTGTTGCTATTCTCCTTTACCTCTAAGTATTTTTTAAAAATTTCATTTCTGATTTCTTCTGGTATCCATTGGTCCATTGGTCATTCAAATTGTGTATTATTTATTCTCCAGATGTTACAGTAGCTTCTGTTTTTTTTTTTTAACATTGGTTTCTAATTTCATTCCATTAAAGTCTGAGAGAATACAAGGTATTCTCTCTCTCTCTCTCTCTCTTTCTCTCTCTCTCTCTCTCTCTCTCTCTCTCCCTTTTTTTTTTGTATTTGGTAAGAGTTGCTTTGTGGCCTAAGATGATGACTCACTTTTAACATACAGAATGTGGTGCAACTAACCAAAAGTAACATCTGAGAGTAGGTCATCAAAACATTGTGGCTTCTTCCTTGTCCTCTCTCTAGAACTAAATTCATGGGAAGAGACTCAACATTAAGGCAAAAGGATGACTGGAGGCCTTTTGGACTAACCCATTTAGTAGATAAATAATCCAAAGCCTAAAGATGTTGAATGTTTTGTTTATATATCACTTGTAATTTTTTTGGTAGAGCTAAATTTGGTCCTTAGTCCATTTCAATTTCTGACATATTGTGAAAAAAACAATAAAATATCAAGTCCCTTTATGACTTTCCAAGAAATTTTCATTTATTATTTTTTTCTAGTTATATTTTCTGTTATATAATTATCTAAACATTTAATCCATATTTTCTGTTATGACATTTTTTTCTTTAGGTCAATCAGGTAAAATTATCCTTAAATATTATACACTGATGGATTTTGAATTTTGTCTCTGATAAAGAACTGCTCCAGACAGCTTGATATTAAAATTAATTTCCAATTATATTAGAAGATGGAATAATGAAAGCTTGTATCATGGCTTTTTAAAAAGAGGTGATGGGAATGTTTGCATTTTGTTCATTTCCACAGCTGGATTCTGATGGCACCGTTACCATTGAGGAGCAGATCATCCTGGTTATGAAAGCGAAAGTGCAATGTGAGCTCAACATCACAGCCCAGCTCCAGGAGGGAGGTAAAGACCCTGACAGAACTGCATTCCTCTTGTGCCCCCACCCCAGTCCTCACAAAGATTGCAGGTTTGCCTTGGTGTTTGGTGTTGGCAAGATCCTCAGTGTCATTGCCTATTTCCATGTGGCGGAGTTGGTAGCAGACTAACTCTTTTCTCCTTTCCACCCCACTTGCTCTTCATTCCCTGTGGAAGGAGTGGCTTGTCTGATTAGCAGGTTTGGGGAAAGCAACTGGGCATGCGCACATCACCTCCCTCGGATCTGTCTGCCTGTAGGGAAAAGGCACCAGATAGCGAGCTTGGAGGGGGAGGCTCTGTCCCTGGGAATATTACCTGAAGTTTTAAAGGGCAAACTCAATTCAGATAAACTCAATTCAATAAACCAGCTCATTTATACACACCAAATCCATGTTCTCCAAAAAGCCTATTTTTGCTATTAAAATGCCACTTTTATTTCCATCTGCCTGATTCTTTATTTAGTTCTAAATTCAAGTGAGAAGTGGGATGACATGTACCAAGCTCCCTAAATTAGAGTGTCCTTAAAGTTATGCCTCTCTAATAAAATGTACAGTTCAATATCTGCTTCATATTGGTCTTTAAATGTTTTTTAAAACATTGTGACTGATTTATTAATTGGTTATGATCAAAGAATGCAGCTTTCAAGATATCTATTTTGAATAATATGTTGAGGCTTAATGGCTTACATTGTAGCCGATTTTGATGAATGTTCCAAGTGATCTTCAAAAGAATGTATGTTCTCAAGTTTTGTTTTAGAGTGTCCACTAGGTTAAGCTTTTTAGTTAATGTGGTTTATGAATTTTGTATCCATAATGATTTTTATATGCTTGATCTATTGTTTATTGAGATATGTATCTTAAATTATACTGTTATGGTGAATTTTCAATGAAAAAGTCATTGACTTTTTTCTTTTATATATTTTGAAAGTGTGTTATTGGTATATACAAGTTTAAAAATGTATTTCCTGGTGAATTAAATTTTTTATCAATTTGAAAGTAGTCTTCTTTGTCACTAGGATATTTTTGCTTTAAGTTATTAAAATATAATTTAAATTATTTTATTAAAATAACAATATTAAACAAATGACATAGTTTCTTTGTCTCTTGGTTAGCATTTGCCTAGTATAACTTTACCAAAAAAGAAATGTGCTGTGATAAAATACACACAACTTTAAATTGACCATCTTAACCATTTTTAATGTTCAGCTATGTTAAGCATATTCGCATTATTGGGCAGCCAATCTCCACAAGTTTTTCATTTTACAAAATTGACACTCTGAGTCCACTAAACAGCATCTCCTTATATTTCTCCATTATTTTATTAAATTTTCCATATACTTATGTTTTGAGAGTATCTTTTTAAAATTTTATTTATTTATTTTAGTTTGGTATATAGGACAGCAGAATGCATTTTGATTCATTGTACACAATTGCAGCACAACTTTTCATTTCTCTGGTTGTACACGATGTAGCAGTGCACTATAAGTGCAGTTACACACATACCTAGGGTAATGATGTCCATCTCATTCCACAATCTTTCCTGCCCCCTGATCGCCACCCAACCCTTCCTCCCCTTTGCCCCGTTAACTTTGATTGGAGTATCTTTTATAAATAGGATACATTTTCTTGTTGTTCTGATAACCTTTGTCTATTAAGTGAAGAGTTCACTCCACTTATATTAATTGTGAGAACTGATGTACAGTATTTGAATTTTACTCTGCCGTCTAATTTGGATTCTTTATTTCATCAGCTCTTCCTATGTATCCCTCCCATTCCCCCATTTTCAATCTGCTTTTGGACTGAAGATTTTTTTGCTTATTTTATTCTACCTTTGCCATAACTAGTTTGGAAGACGTTTATTGTATTTAATTCTCTTAGTGATCACCCTGGAGGCTTTTTCATAAGTTTTAATTGAAGAAAATTTTTTTATTGTTGCATATTTATTATACAGAATAGTGGATTTCATTGAGACATATTTATACAGGCACATAACATAATCTGATCAATTTCTTTCCCAGTACTTCCCCTTGCCTTCCTTCCTCCCTCCCCCGATCTCCTTCCCCTACACTACTGGTCTATTTTCTTTCTTTTCTCTCAAATCACTTAAATATATTTATTTTTTGCCTTTATGAATGTACTTTTTTTTGCATTACAATTCTTAATACACATATATACCACAATTTTTGTATCTCTGTTTTAAAGTATGCTGACACCTAATTCAAGTCTTCATACATGTACTTTGTATAATGATGTCCATCACATTCCACCATCCTTGCTAATCCCCTGCCCCCTTCCTTTCCCTTCCACCCCTCTGCCCTATCTAGAATTCATCTATTCCTCCCATGCTCTCCCTCCCTACCCCACTATGAGTCAACTTCCTTATATCAGAGAAAACATTCGGCACTTGTTTTTTTTGGGATTGGCTGACTTCACTTAGCATTATCTTCTCCAATGTCATCCATTTACCTGCAAATACCATGATTTTTTTTTAATGCTGAGTAGAATTCCATTGTGTATATATGCCACATTTTTTTTATCCATACATACACTGAAGGACATCAAGGTTGTCTCCACAGTTTAGCTATTGTGAACTTCCTTTTAATAAATAATATAAGCAGTTTAGGATATTTTATTTATTTCCAAAGTATATGCTGTTGTCATATAGGATTGTTGTTTTATGTTATTTTAATTTTTCTTCTTCCAGGAAATATCTTTTTTTTATTTCTTTTTTGAATTTTTTTACATGAGAATGTGCTCATTGTGCCTTCAGTCTTTGTCTGAAAATATCTTGAGTTGCAATCCTGAGCAATATTTTTTTCTGAATATGTAACATTTGTTATTGAAAATTATTTATTTTTAGTCCGTGAGGATATTATTTCATTTTCCACCCTAACTTCCATTATTGCTATTGACAGATCAGTTCTCAGTCTTTGTTGGCGATTGGCCTTTTCTCTCTGGCTCTTCTTAAGAGCTTCTCTTTGACTTTGATGTTCTATAGTTTTACTCTGAATTCATTGGATTTCCTGAATCTAAGGATCTGTCTTTATTTAGTTATTTTGTCCTTGAAATTTGCTGTCCTCCATTCTCTCTGTTATCTCCCTCAGGAACTTTTAAGTAGACAAATGTGATACCTTCTCATACTACCCTCAGGGTGTCCATGTCTTATATATTTTCGTTTTTTTTTTTTTTTTTTTTTTTTGTTGTTGTTGTTGTTTTTCTACGGCTGTTTTGGTAAATTCTTCAAATATGTTTCTAGTTTTTTAACTCTTTGTTCAGCTTTGTCTTACAGCTCTTTAATCTATTCATTAGTTAATTTTGTTTTTTACTTTCTGATATCTTCATTTTTTTTTAATGTTTTTGAACTGGAGCTTGAACCCAGAGGTGCTTTACTACTGAGCAACATACCCACCCTTTTTATTTTCATTTTGAAACAGTCTCACTAAATTGTGTAAGGCTTTGCTAAATTGCTGAGGCTGAGTTGTGAGTGTTGTGATTCTTCTGCCTCAGCCTCCTGAGTTGCTAGGATTACAGGTGTGAGCCACAGTGCCTGGATTTCATATTTAATTTTGATGGTCTTTTGTACCTTCAGCAATCTTTCAATTTCTTTTTATTTTCTTAGACATATATTTTATATTCTGCACTTGATAAATCTAATATCCACAGATTTTGCTGGTTCATGATGATTATCACACCTGATAGCTTATTTCCTTATGTGTCTAATGATTTATGATGAGGAACTTTTGGTTTAAAGCATCTTCCTCCAGGGAACATTTGTGTTTGCTTATGGAAGGTGCCTAGAGGATCTATTGATGTAAGTCTATCTTAACTGAGTTTAGATAATGTAGGAGTGTGGGATTTGATTGGAAGCTTCTAGAGAACAATTTTTTTAGGGGGGTCACTATTTCCTATTTTACCTCTAAATATAGCCAAAAACGAAATGAGTCAATCTGTTTCTGAAGGATGTTTTTGTCTCTTGTTCACCCACTAAGGAGGGGGGGGGTGTCATCTTTGGGGGATACTGATTTTATAGAGGGGTCTCCCATCTAATTTTCCCAAGTTATTAGGGCGCAGGCTCAAATTTCATCACCTGATTTTATCAAAGCACAAGTCCGAAGCCAAAAGATTCGTAGCGATCTGTAAGGTAACCCCTAATTGTAGTACTTGTTGCCCCCATTGAATAATTTCTGGCTTTAGGTTTATTCCTTTACTTTACAACCTGCTAAATCATGTTTTCACAGAAGACTTTTCTATTTATCCAGCCTTTGTAGGTATCTTGTGCCAGGAGAGAGTTTTCTGAATGACCTGTCTAGTAGTGTCCAAACAGGAAATCACTCATTTTACCTTTAAATAACACTGACACTCATCCTAGACATGTAAATCTACTGACAAGGATCAGCTTCATCATGAAGGAATTTGATAATTATCTATAAGTGCTGAAAAAACTATTTCCCATGACACCTCATGAACTTTTGAGCTGGAATATACTTGGCAATTACCTGGGCCAACAGTATCTTTGATGTTCCTTAAATAGTCAACACACATGTACCCACCGTGTGTTGCTTCTGTAGTAAGCACTGAAAAGCCTGAATAAGATTCTGTCCTTGCCCCGTGGGCTTGATGGCTGCACAGGGAGGGTAGACATGTTTTAGGCTTTGTGTAATTTTAACAACAAGGGTATTCACAACTATGCAGTCACTGCAAAACATGTAATCTGGGAGGGATTAGCAAAGACTTATTGGAAGAATAATCATCTCTTTACTTGAAGTCTTAAAACTTAGAGTGGCATTTTGAGTTCACTGATTAATTTAAGAAATTTTCATTTTAAAATGCTCTTAAAATTGAGCATTGCATATCAAAATGTTTAAGAATAAGCTCTTGTTCTGCCTATAATTTATTTTAAAATTATACCAAAAATAATTAGATGAAATAAATATCAGAAACTATTAAAACTGTCAATTCTAAATTATGGGTATGTATTTTCTGTTATATTTCTGAAATTTTTTTGTAATAAACTGATCATAAAATTATCTTAAAGTTTATGAAAGACAGAAATGGCAATGTAAACATGAATACCTCATTATAAAACTATTCACATATTTAAAAATAAAAAGTGAAATATTATTCATCCTGGTTCTTCTTCCAAGGGTGGTTGTATTTTGTTATGAGTAACTGAAGAACTAAAATGAGAAAAAGCTAGAGTCTCCAAATTTTAGGCTGTTCTGTGTAAATATCACGGTTGAACAAGCTTCACTAATAATTAGTTTTTCCTGGCACACACAAAGGATTATAGAGCTATAATTAATGGTGTTAATTTATAAAGAAAGTTTGGTGACTCATTAGGCAATTAATTAGTTTCTTGCCAAATAATGAAAGTTATTTACTCACGTGATGATCAAGGAGAAGATGCTAATTACCATCTCTGTATTTTCTCAATCTTTTCATCTTTTTGTGACTATTTATCATTCTTGTTGTCAAAGAACCACAAAAAATTAACCTGATCTGAACATCCATTATTCTGGGGGAGGTTGGTTTTCTGAACTTTGGAGGGTGTATTTGAGTACATGTGTGGGTGGGCTGGTGTCTCACAGGGCACTGGAAAAATCTCCCTTAACGAGCATGAGGAAAAATATTTTTCCATAGCTGTTTTAAAAGCAAGTATTTATAGAATAAACTGGTCATTAGATTTTACTTTTATATGAAGACTGTATTCTATCATGGGACTAACTCTTGGCAGAAAATAATACATGACATCACAGTATGCATTTTAGAGGGACAGTTAGTTATAGAAAGGTAAGAACACATGTAAAGCTCCAGTTTATGCAGTTTGTACAGTAGATATTGGGTACAATCTATTGCACAGTTGTGAATTTTCCATTTCTGTAACAAATACCTGAGATATATTATCTTAGAAAGAGAAAAGACTTATTTTGGCTCACAGTTTTGGAGATTTTAATTTATGACTGATTGGGCCTCTTGCTTTGGGTTCATGGCAGCTCATCATGACAGATGTATGTGGTGGAGCAAAGCTATTCAACTCACGGCTGGACATGAAAGGAAGAAAGAGGACAGGATGGAGATCCCACTCTCCTTCAAAGGCACATCCCCAATGACCCGAGGACTTCCCACTAGGCCCTGCCTCTTCACATTTCTCCCGTTTTCCAGTAATGCCAAGTTGGTGCCTAAAGCTTTAATCCATGAGCCTGGGGCGGGGGGGGGGGCATTAATTTCCAAACTAATAATAGTTAATAAGCAGTTGATAGAACAGATACATAAATGACAAAGTAAATGGATGGCAAGGTGCATGGAATTCTATCCAGATATAGAAGACAATCTTGGGCAAAGTTGATGGATAAGATTGATTCATTCTACCCTGTATTAGCAAGAAGGAAAATCAACCAACAAAAAAGACCTGATAGTGTTGCAAAGAGGGGCAGGTGGTGCTGTGCTCCTGAAGCAGGAGCCCGTGGGATGAGCTCCTGGGTTGCCTGTGATATGTGAAGCCCAGGTTTTCATGGTGTGAACAAAGTGAGGCTGTTTCCAAGAAAATGTTCTTTTCTAACAACAGTGTGGGTGAGGAAGACGTTTTTCTTTTCTCTTCAGCAGTGCACAGAGCAAATAGATATTTGTTTCTGTGTGATAGGTGGACGCTAAGAAGTTAATTTCAGGTTTTTCTTTTTTCTTTTTTTTCACAGAAATGGGTGTTTGTGTGAGATTGTGTTAGGCTGATGATTCAAAACCCAACGAATAGTGTGATACCATGACACTGGCTAGAACAGAAATCTTCAACGGCAGTTAGTATAACAACACAGTGGTTACAACACATCTGGGAGAGTTAGAATGTATAGCATTTATGGTAGCAGAATAATGAACCCTGAAGACATCCACCACCTAGTACCTGCTGTTAAGCGTGCGTGCTACACACACGACCAACTGGAAGGTTATGGATCTCAAAGTGGGGAGATGATTCTGGATTATCTGGATGAGCCCAATGTAATCAATCACCTGTGTCCTTTAAAGAGGAAGATAAGGCAAAAGAATGAGCTTGAATTGTGTCAGAAAAGGAGAGCAGAGGAGAGATCCAAAATGTGAGAAGAACTTAGTCTGTCTTGCTGATTTTGAAGATGGAGGAAGGAGTCCATGAGATAAAGGATGCTGACAGCTTCTAGAACTTGGCATGAATCTTCGATGACAGCGAACAATTAACTCAGTTCTGCAACTTCAAGGAATTTAATTCTACCAACAGCTGACATGAACAAGGAGATGGATTTCCCTCAAGAGCCTCTGGAGAGTAATGCAGCCCTGCTCAGCCCTCGATTTTGGTCTTGCGAATCTATCAGCAGAGGTCCCTCTGAGCCTGCCAGACTTTTGACCTACAAAACTATTTTTAAAATCAAAAAATTTGATTTTAAGCTGCTAAATTTGTTGTAGTAAATTAATCTGGCACTTATTGAAAGTATGTCTTTTTGCCTTGTTGGGATCTGACATGACTGACAGGCTCTATTCTTGGATGTTCAATATATAACTAGTAGAAAGAAGCCCAGCAGAGCACAGAGTATTGACACTGAATGTTCCTTGGCCCCACCAAGTGCCAGAGGCTATTCCAGGAAGGTAGTTAACATAGGAGACAAAACAGTCAAAAAATCTCCACCCTCACATTTTTTAAATCCTATGACTTTAGAAAGCAATAATTAAGAGAATGATACTGAAGGCAGTGAGAACTCAGGTGTTAGGGAAAGGAGAAAAGGGGATAGGGAGTTTTTTAGAATGCAGTTTTAAGTTGGAGAATTTACTAAGAAGTTGACCTTTGAGCAAAAATCTGGAGGAGGGGGGCAATGTGGGGAAATGGCCCTGGAATCCAGGAAGAGCAAGTGGCATTGTGGAGGTGAGAGCTGAGGCAGGAGCTAAGGTCAGTGAGAGGGGAGGGCAGAGAGTAGGTCTGCAGGCCCTTCACACATTGCTTAGACCTAAGTTTTGCCTCTGAGTGAGATGGGGAGTTTTTGGAAGACTTGGGGCTATTGTGTTAAAGAGTGTGTGTCATTGGTTACCAACTTTTTTGAGTTGAGTAAGATGGAGCACTCATATGTATGAACAACAAGTTACAGGAAGTGGGTTCATTGCTTATAGACAGGCTGCAAAGATTAACAGCAGCCTAGGATTTATTCTGAGCCAGTTCTCCAGGCTCGGAAACCTGTCCTGGGTGGATGGAATCTCCATTGCTCTTATCCCACTTGCATTGCAGCTGAGTTGCTCAGGAAAACCACCCACAGTGGGTTGTATACCCCAGGGAACATCTGATGCTATTAGGCTCACGTGTTGGAAGAC